GACTGTATCTCATGAGCCTGATGTACAACAGAGTGCTCATCAGTCATCTTGTAGTCATAGAATTTCTCCATGACGTACAACTCGCTGCCGGCGTTCGAGGCACCAAACTTTGCCTCGAGCGCAGCCCACATGTCATTGCCGTTTTCAAACGACATATACGAATCCACAATGGAATCATCCAGAACACTTAGAAGAGCGCCTTTAAAGAGAGTATCGATCTTCTCGAAAGCTTTCAGTTGTGCTGGATTAAGATCGCCCTCAAGCTTGCCCTTGCTGGCGTCATAGCAGCCCATGGTCTGAAACCAGTAGACTGCTCTCGTGCGCCACCTCTTATATTGCGCCCCCTTAAAGGCGGGCGGCTTCAGATGCGCAGCAAAACCACTCGGAGTAAATTGCATATAATCAGGTTTTTGGATTGTTGGAAATATGAGCAAATTACTACGAGATTTAATCCAAATAAATAGAAGATAAATCATGACTACAGTAGCAGAGATTAAACTAATCATGAGAACTAGCATAGCAGATGAACATATCACATCTAGGGCACATACTAGAAACATGAATTTTACCATGATCTCGAACAGGAAGGATAGAATCATATACGGTGCAGCGGGAGCAGCACCGCTGGCGTTGACGTTGTCGCCCATGTCGTCGAGGATGAAGTTGCCGAGGTCGGGGAAGAAGTCGTCGTTCGCGAAGTCGTCGCTGCCAGCAGTCGCGCGAGTGCGCTCCCCAAAAACCTGATCGCCCCTCCCCCATACAGGATTACGAGAGGCGGGGTTCCGAAGGCCTGCCGTCCCTTCTCCCGGTGCACGCCGAAAGGAGGGATGGAGAAGACTTGCTTGACAATGATCTGGAACGGTGGTGAGAAACCATACGAAACGGCGGCGGCTAGGGTAGACGTCTGCCTGACTATATAGTGCGGGCCGGGCAGGTCATGGGAGTAAACCCCACGTCCAAGTCGTCGCGATCCAAAAGAATCGGAACGGTTCAGTAATTAACGCATCCGTTAATTATTAATTAATGACTCATTAATTTTTTCCGAGCAGCGAGGAGGAGGAGCGCGCGTGTAGGTCTCCTCTTCTCATGCTCATACAAGTGGTAGAAGAGCTCACCTTATAAAGAGGTGCAACTCTCTCTCAACTTGCAGGGTGAGACTAAATTTTAGCCTCACTCACTCCACTCACATGTGTGCATGAATGGGCCAAGAGAATTTCAGAATTTTAGTTGGGCTTTGGGCTGTCAGTGTACAATTAGACAGTATTCCTAGCATTGCGCGGACAAAAATGGGGAGAAAAGAAGACCACCAGTACGTGGTTGCGCTGAACAGTCAACCGTGTCCAGAGATTCGACAACGTAGCATGCTTTTAGAAATCCTGCACACCAACATTTAACAAAAGAATTTCGCTACAAATCAAACGACATATTTTTTTAGCATGGCAAATTAAGCAAAGTTCACTAAACATTGGTATAAAAATCGGTTAAAATTTGATGTCGGATTTTCAACATTTCCGTAGCAAATTTGATGTCAAAACAAAAAATTAGACAAATACCGTGTGTCACCAATCTCGTGTGGAGACCACACCGGGTGTATGTGTATTGTAGGATCAAAGTATTCGGGAGGGGGGGGGGAGGGGGGGTCAGACGGTTTTAACTAATACTTCGAAAATATGAAATGTTTTGATAAACAAAAGAATAACATGGTAGTATCAGAGTAGTTCTGAGAAAATCTAGCAGTTAGACTAGAGAGACTTAGAGGCATGCAGCCAAATGTCTGGAGACACACAAGTCTTCTTCTTATTCTCCTTGAGCTAAGTTCACTAGAACCCGCCCAACACTCATGGTATATCTTGCAGTGATCTCTAGACCGATACAGACTCATTCTTCGGCCGACGAATCTACACTTTGGATGCTCTTAATAACTCCCGACCTTCTACAGGATGCTAAGTCCTGAAGAATATCAAGTCCAAAATAGGCTCGATCAGATTTTTTTTGGTGATGCTCAATCACAATTCAGTTTTGGTTCTCTGTTTTTCCTCACTAAGGATTTGTCTCAAATCGGTACACTTGAAGAAGCCAACCGCAAAATGGTTGGAGCTAGGCTGCTATTTATAGCCGGCACATACACACATGCGCTGAAATGGCCGTTGGAGACCAACGTGCACACAACACGTGGTAATGGTCGGGTTTAAAACTAGAACTGACTGGAATAATTTGGGCGGCAAGTTTTCCAACTCCTTAGCAAGGAATTTAACTTAGGTGTCTTGAAGACGTCACGATGAGTAGATTTTACCGTCATTTTATACCGGTGTTTAAATAGGATATTCTCATATCGCTTTGATTTGCCCACTAGCGAACTAATAAATGCAAAAGCTTGCAAATATCCTTTTGTGTTTTTTGTTCCTTGCAAAAATAAATGTATTTCGGTGAAAAATTCAAGCCACATATGAGATAATCCGGAGAATAAGATCACCTCCATACAAGTAGGCACGCACCAAAGGCAACGTAAGAAAAGTCAATGCGTACTACGACCGGTACCGGTCATGCCAACGATTGTACCTGGTGTCACTGACTCCGTGGCGTTATCCCTAAAAATATTGTGAAGGACCCGAGCCAAATTGCATCTATACTACTATTAAAAGAGCAAACATAAACTCCGCTAAAGCCACACAACAAATTGTACACAAGACTGTCAGAACCCTCCGATCAGATTAACTTAAACACATCGTACAGTCCATATTACATCAATAGTCCGTGATGCAAATCAACGATTGAGATCAAATGTTCTGCCCAAGCAGGCGTCTGCTCCATCCCCAGATCCCCGCTCGCCCCTACTGCAACACACAGGCCGATTCCGCGCCGCTGGTTCTCCACCTCCCCTCCCTCTCCTCACTACAGGACGCCGCCGGGCGAAGCTCGGCTCGCATCGGCGGCGCCGGGGTCACTCTCCTGCCTCGAGCAGCGTCGGCGGCGCGGGATGCAGCGGGCTCGGCCTGTGTCACCGACGCGAGTGTCCCTCTCGAGCGGCGGCGGTGGCGGATTCAGCGGACGCGGGCCGTGGCGGCAGCGGCGGCGGTGGACGCAGCGGGCTCGGCCTGCGTCGGCGGCGGCGGGTCCATCTCCTTCCTCGAATAGCAGCGGGCTCGCGCCCCACGATTTATTCGACTCCGGCGATTTGTCAACTTCTGCTTTAGCGGCGCCGCAACGGAGCACTCTGTCGGGCCCCTTGGCGGGATCGGCGTCCGGATCATCTCGCGCCTCCGCAAGGGGGATGGGACTGCTCGGGCTCATCTGCAAGAGCCCCTCGCCGCCATGCCGCCTGCTGCCGCTGACACCGTCAACGGGAGCGGACGAGCAGGAGAGATCCTGTCGATCTGATGGCAAAAGGGCGAGATAACCGGCTCCTGTATGTTTTGGAAGGTCTACCTCGAGATAAATTTGGACACCGGCAAGCTCCTCTCAGTAAAGCAAGTCGTGGGATTTGGGGATTTGCACGTTTTGGTTTTCTGGTTTGTACGTATTGTCTAAAGACTTGGAGTCATTCGTTGCAGGTTACACCAAGTCTCTCCTTTGTTTGATTTTGGTTCCAGCTTTGATCGGGAGCACCAACCGCGAGCTGGGAGAAAGCCCAAGTGAGTAGCACTTCCACAGCAGATTGGTTACCAATTTAATTGTTCTGATTTTTCTTCATGTGAGGTGATTTCTGGCTTTTGTTTCTACTATCACGCGCATATAAGAGAACTCGAGGAAGAAGTGAAGCTCCTCATTTTCTGTGGTGAACAGATAAATTTCGACTACATATCAGATTCTTTTTTTTAAACTTGTAGCACGTAGTTACTTAATCCATTTCTGTGGTTTCAGAAGAAGTACCTTGAGACTGTCCGTGAGGAAGACACGCTGAATATCTTGCTTGATTTTGTTCCCCGCCCACTGCACGCCGCTGTCGAGAACACCTCTGCTACCTCCTCCCAATCTCCGCCACAAGATTCTCCGTCCAGGTAGCGTAGAGTCTGTCTCAAGATTCTCCCGTGCAAGTAGAGAAAGTACCTTCCTCTCCTGATTTTGTACATGGCAGTGCAGTACTATGTGGTTAACACAAAACTGATGCTATTAGCATGTCTACAACTAGCTTGTTTAATTCCATACACGCTTCACTCCCTGTGTGTACAATAGGATTGTATAGCATAGATGGATTGAACAACATACATGTATGTAGAATTATTAGCATGTGAGGCCACATTTAGAATTCGATTGTCTGTTTTGTGCACTATGTTGGTAAATTAATTTGTGTACTAACATGTTCATTACAGATCCTGGGCGAGGAATAAAAAAATTAGTTCTTGAAGCTTCTCCATCATGCCGGACGGACAATTGTATCCGGCACCGTCGCCATCGCTTATGGAGTTCCACACCATTGCCCAGTTGTACGAGAGCATGTTCAATCTTCTCCATTCAAGACTATGCAAGTGGTGAACTCTGCCAAACAAGAAGATATGAGGATATGGCATATATGCCCCATAAGGTAGCTATATGGTAATTCATGTATTGTAGTTTGGATTACGGTCACACTTTGAAGGGTAAGTAGATGATGCTCAATGACATAACCTGCACTGATCTTCACAGTCATATCATCTGATAGAAGTTTATTGAATTTCATTTAAATTTTGTTGTATGTTATCCATGATGTAAGTGGAGATAGGAAGTTAAGCAAAATTAAAAATTGCAGCACAAAGGGGATGTCCACCAATGATTTGACATGATAAGATGTTAGTGAAGCATGGCAAACTATGACATTAGCAAAACTTATATTTACATATATTCATATATATGAATTTTGGAAATGTGCATTGCACGTATATCGTACTTCTCTTCACTATTCAAAATACTTGTACCCACTATGATTCCATTTTTTATTATTTACCTTGAAGGAGTATTATATTAATGTTATTTGTTGTCCACCTTGATCCTTCACTGCTATTTTTCCTACTAAGCAACTTTGCATGGAGTTAAGATCATTTCGTAAGATTCTGATATGTTTTTCAAATTCGCTTCCTTTATGCATGAACCTATCATCAAGATTTAGACCTCTTATATGGTGCATGTATGCTGCTGTAAGAAGAAATGTAATATTGTCCTCATCAATTTCTTTCTTAGCATGCACAATGTGTTACAACATCAATTTCATTGGTTTGGAGAAGGTGATAAACATGCAACCGTTCTTACTTGATGATATGAATGCTTCATTGGAGCAATATTGGCCTTTGTTTGCACATTAGTGTTCCATTATGTAGTAAAAGATGTGGTCTGGTAGCCTTTCTTCATTGTTACAATTATTGTCAAATGGTGGAATATTGGTGCCTGGTAGCTCTGGTTCATGTAAGCATGACGAAACATCGTAAAATCATATTTCTTGTTGTATCATGAGTCATATGAAAAAGAAGGTTAGGCGATTTATGTTTTTAGTTTTTCTATTGCTCGTGTGTTAAAGATCTAGGCATACATTTCAGATATAAATTTGGGCATAAATTGTCACAAATAGATGGGTGGCGTGGGTCAAGGTTCAGAAACCCAGGGCATCATGTTTCTTTCGAGCCATATGAGGAGAACTACATCCATGGTAGTGGCTACAATATAATCAGAGAGCCATGTACATGTTGATTGTTATGAAATCATGGGATGGAATCTTGATCTCCGGTGTCCAGAAATCTATTTTCTCAGAGAAAAAATCGATGCGAGTTTATATTGCTGGTGTTTCGTCACGCACCTTAATTTCTTCTTCGGATTATGAAATATTTAGGTTAACAAGATGCCATGTAAGTTGGGTTGAGATCTGCTATACAGTGACTTTCTTTTGTTCAAATATTTCATTTTTTTTCATTTTCATGCTGTCGAAGTATTTGTACTTGTGATTTCCTGAAGTTTTGTGAAATATTGAAGGATATCTTGGAACGACAAAGTTCCCAGTCTTCATGCTAGGTGATAGGACACTGGCTGCTGAAGTTGCTCATTGCCTCGTATAAAAGAATGGAATCTCCTTATTTTTTGCTATGTTTTGCACATGTTGATTATGATGGCATTGTTTTGAACATTCTATCCCATGTTGATAAAAAGTAGATGCTTTGGTATGCCCTCTTTGTTCTAGCTTGGTTGGTTGACTGGTTGTTGTTCTAGGTGTTGTTGAGATGACCTAAGCTAACAACAATTTGAGCTTGCCTCCATGGTGTTTGATTATATTTAGGTGGACAAAATCCCCCGGTGATAATCCCAAAAAGAAAATTTGGCATTGACGCAGGGCGTAGAGCGTTGGTGATGCCTGAAAAGAAAATTTGGCATGGCACGGGAGGTAAGGCGTTGGTGATGCCCAAAAACAAGATTTGGCGTGATGCGGGAGGTAGAGCGTTGCATGCGGCAGCAAAGATACAACCATGTTAAAAAATTCAAACCATCGACGGGAAGTAGAGTGTTGTGTGCGGCAGGAAAGATACAACCATGTTCAAAAATTCAAACCATCGGGGTCACAGTTGCAAGATGGGGATCGGATGGCATGGACACATTTAGCTAGCAAAGGTTGTTCGCCGAAATTAGAGTTTGGATTATTATATAATTTCATTGTAGACCAATTACTGTTAAATCATAACATGTTATTATGATAAAAATTATGAACAAAAATTTGATTCAGATAATCAAAATATTGAAAAAAATTCTAAACTTACGTGCGTTGCACGTGCACACTTACTAGTCAGAGAAACCCTGAAACCATATTCTGTCCATCTGCACTATTGGAAGGAGAGGAAGACCCGACACTCGTCTCCCCAACCATTCACATCTTCGCAGCCGCGACTCAACCGTCATCAATATCTCATCTACATTTCCATCTCCACCACCATAGCCTTCATCTCCATTAGATTATTTACTTGTAATCAAGATTCCATCGTGATCAGCGACATTGCAAGACCATCAATCGTTCATCTTCAACTAACCTTTTATACCATGTTATCTGCTTGTGATTCGATTGCAATGTGTGTGTAACTCGCTCTGGCTAAGGGGCGAGTCATAGCCTCGCAACCCAGTGCATGCGCAAGAAGGGATTGAAGGTATGAATTTACATTATATTTTTGTGTAACTGTTAGTCTCCTGTCTCGATCTCAATCTCAGAGCTCACCAGTACGCGATACACCGAAGATCGGTACAAGGAGAGTTAAAGGACATGGAACAATGGAAGAATATATCAAAAGTTGGTGATAGTAATGCCAATATGGCAACCGGAATTGAATATATGGGGGAAACACGATGCATTCGTCAAGCACTAATGTGTTGGGCTGATTTATTCTTAATAACTGAGAAAACCTAACGAGTCCTCGATGCGGCAATGGTCGGTCGTGGTGTCACAAGGACGGATCACCCACTTATTTATTTTCGCATTGTATATCTTAATATATTACTTATTGATGCATTGCTGCTTTATCTATTTATAATCACGAGTCGCGTATACGTTTTTTTAGAAAATGAGGGTGACCTCCGGCCTCTGCATCTGGGAGATGCATACGGACACTTTATTGATTATTCTCGAGGACCTTACAAAGTATAACAACAATGTGCCTGAGTCCACCATGTTGGCAACATATGCCGCTACTCCTATCCAAAATGATGAAGGGGTGCTAGTTGGGCCACTACCCTGACCACTCACCTAAGCCTAACATCAAAAGCCGGAAGCCAAAACACATTCGGAAACCCCAGCCGAGCCACATACCGGGTCTGGGGCACAATCCGGTCAGACACACTCGTGTCATCGCCACCATCTTCCACAAGTCCGTCTTCAGATCAAATTGAGGCTTCTACCTTGTCTGGCCACTCAGCCATCGACGTCACCACGACACCAGACAGCTTCGTCCTCCTGCGCGAGTCCATCGCCACACATCAGACGCCGAATCTCCACTGCGCCGCGCCGCCGAGATACACCGCCATCAATTAGTAGGATGAAGCACCGCTCCACCGAGACCGGCAGGGCCGCTGAAGACCAATCCACCGCCAAGCAACCAAAGCATCACATCCACCCCAAGCTCACCATGAACGACACCCCCAAGAGGGTGACGACGCCTGGAGCGCCGCTGTCGCTCGATCTGGCAAGGATTTGGGCTTTCGTCCGGCATACGAGCTGGATGGAAGGAAGAGGGGAAGGAGGCAACCTGGACGGTGCCTACAAGAAGGGTACGACGCCCTCGGGCGTCGCCGCCGTCGTGACCAGCACTGCCGGCCTCGGATTTCTCCAGAGCCACCTCCCACCTCCAGCCGCCATACAGGTACAACTCCGGTGACAAAGGCCACCCAAAGCAGCACCATCGGAGGCAGCCTTGGTTGAAGTAGACGGAGGCCTTCAGATCTGGATCGGGCGCCGCCGAGACGCCCGCCCCACAACTGCCACCTTCCGCCGCCTCGCCACCCCCGCGACCGAAGAAGAACGGCCAGCACCAACGAGCACTGGTCAAGCCAATGGAGTCTCGCCGGAAGGGCCGCCGCCCCAGATCCAAAGAGCCACGCTCACCCATCTCCAAAGAGACGAGCAACTCGCGCGAAGCCGGCCGCTCCAGCCACCGCAACGAGCACCACTCCGAGGCCCCATCCCAGACCGACCCCCTCCAAGCACTCCAACACCGTGATCCACATCTGACCGCTCCAAGAGGAAGCAGCCCACCGGACGAGGAGAGACAGGCGAGCAGGGAGGGGGACCAAACGCGGGGATGAACGGAGGAGGAGGTGGAAGGGGTCTTGCTGCCGCCGCGGGCCGGCTGGAGGCCGCCGGCGACGACGATGAGGGGAGGCAGACGAGGGTGGCGGCGCTCGGGGGAAAACCTAATCGCCCTCGAGTCGCCTACGTGAGCGGACGGTTTGACGAGGAGAGTCGTGTACACATACACAAATGTAGGTGAAAATCTTAACTCTAGCCTATTTATTTTATTGTTATAACCTCCGTGCTACTTTATTGGTCTGGGAAACTGAAATGATTTGCGATAAAAAAAGACTTCCAGACATTTCCTTACCAATGTGAATTTAGTTTCTAGATCCTATAAATCCTAAGGTCTCTAGGGATGGCTATATATACATCCAAAATTGGATCAAAGGTAATCTTAACTTCGACACCGAAGCTAAAAGAGTTTCTTGGAAGGAGATTTCCAAATCTTAATTTGGCGAAGAAATATGTTTGATTGAGCACGAACATGAAGACTTCGATCTTGCTTAACTTAGACCCTCTTAGTAGCATGGTTTGCCTTACTGAAAGTGCTAGTTATCGACTAGAGGGGGGTTGAATAGGCAATTTTTATTAAAGTCTTCAAAATGCGGGGGCTTTGAAGACAAACAGTAGAAATGATCCTATTGATATGCATCGGAAGGTAGACTACACTAGGCAAGCCATAGTCAAGTAAGCAATGAAGTGGAAGCACGAAGACTATCGGCAGCTAGGTAGTATGGATCAGGATGGAAGACAGTATGAAACCAAACAGTAAACAGTCTTCACTCAGTGAAGTCAATCGGATCATACAGGCAAGCAATGACTTCAAGAAGACAAACTGTAAAGTAAAGGGAAGTGAAGGATAGAACCAGTAGCTTGGGTAAGACACAGATTTTGTAGACTAGTTCCAGTTGCTGTGACAACTGTACGCCTGGTTAGGGATGCTGAGATTTAACTCAAAAGACCGTGTCTTCACCTTATTTCCCTTGAGCTAAGGACATACAATCCTCGCCCAATCACTCTGGTAAGTCTTCAAGGTAGACTTCCAAACCTTCATAGACTTTGTTCACCGGTGATCCATAATGACTCTTGGATGCTCAGAACACGACGCCTAACCGACTGGAGGATTCAGAGTCCTCAAGTGTAACAAGTCTTCAGATCACGCGGACAGAAAGACTTCAGTGACGCCTAACACTGTTTGGCTCTGGGTGTTTTGGGTTTTGTCTTCGCAAGGATCTCTCTCTCAAATGCTTTGGAGGTGGGTTGCTCTCAAACGACAAAAGCCGTGCACTAACTCTGAGCAGCCAGCCAATTTACAGTGTAGGGGGTGGGCTATTTATAGCCAGGAGGCAACCTGACCTGATTTGTCCAAAATGACCCTGGGTCACTAAGGAACTGACATGTGTCCAACGGTCATATTTCAAACACACGCGACAGCTTGACTTGGGCTACAAGTAAAGCTGACTCATCCAGCTCTGGATAAGATTTGCTCCCATTGTCTTCGCTCGAAGACATAGGATTTGGTTGAGCATCACATCAGTCACTCTG